CACATTTGTATTCGTATTTTTATTCGTTGGTCTGCCAGATGCCCTTCGGAAGAGCATCATTATTTCATTTCGTTCTACCATGGCTAGGCTTTCGTCAGGCCTGCGCACAGGAATGTTGGAAACCGGAAATGCGCACGGAAGCCATGTTGGAGTTCTGCATGACTTGGCAAACTTTTCAGTACATTCTGAGGACCTGGTTGTTGTCGTCCCTGAAAATTCAAAATATTCTTGATATGGAGGAGCGCTAGTCTGAGGCTCATGAAACACGCATAACAATGAAATTGGAAATCAGTCCTGACTTAGGCAAACTTCCTGTTTCTTAAGGAAAAGCTTTCGGCCTTGGACCTTCCTCAAGTCTGAGCATTGGAAAAACCTACTGTCAAAAAATCGAGTTCGCTCACACAAAAAGATGCACTGCTATCGATAATGGATAATCGCTAACGAAGATTTTGTAGCTCATTTACACGCATGCAGGCGGGGGTAAATTACCCACACAAACGCGTTTTCCTATACTTTCCGAACGGTGCTGTGAAGTCGCGCAAAAATTATAAAAGCTGTAGACAATTGAACAGTTAGTCTTTTGAGACAGCACTTGAATATATCTCGTGAGTTCGTTGGGCTACAGTAAGGCAAAATGGGGCCACGGCTGTCTGCGGTGGCAACTTCCAGGGAATCGTTTAATCTTTTGAGACAATGGAGTGTTAGACAAAGTTGTAAAAATCTGAGATGGTTCTTAGGCAAGAACATGAATGAAATTAAGATCCAGACCCTGGGTCAGGTATGAAGGTCAGAGATGAAACGAAGTTTCTTTATTGCTGGAAAAGTTACTTTGTGAGGCAGTTTTGACAATGATTTTGAACTCCTCGATCACAAGTACAAAATATTCCTAAATTTTACCTTAAGAAGGCTAAATTAGGTCAATGATCTAACATGACATCAGCCAACCTTTTGCGCTTAGGAACATGCCGCTTATCGTAGGTCTTGCCGCTAACTTTTAGTTAAAACATCAAAACAACCAACAAGGTTTTTAGCCACCTTGACTTGGTATGCCTCAAAGCAAGTTACTGATCTGATGTAAACAGCAGTGATCATTTGCCTGAAAAACACATCTGGGTTAACAGTGGTTGCATGGGGAGGTCCCGTGGGCGTCTCGGACACCAATATGGTGATTGACTTTGTTTGACCTTTTCTGATCCAAGTTAATCAAGATTTGACACAAGTGAATTCATGTGAGCCCTACCTACCCCGTGAGATCAGTGTCTATATTTTTCAGTTTTTGAAATATCATCCGGTCAAATTGATCGCCATCCCACCCCAACGCCCAACGCCCACCCCAACGCCCAACGCCCACCCCAACGTATCCAAACGGCCACCGGGTACGTGTAAAATCAGCGAGAAGATGACGCACTGGCTGTTTATGCAAAAGCATGATCCAGGTTCAGGTTAATTCAGGTCCACTAAGACATAATTCACCAGTCAATCACAACCAAGATCTGGCTTCATCACAGCATGTAATAATAACTTCATGAACTATAATCCATGCTGTTTACCTTCACGCATTGCACTATGAGCCATTGCCGTAGTTTGGTCCAATGCAATATGCAGGTCCTAAAATCCGAAAGTAGCTATCACGCCATGCATTCTTGAATGCATCTACCAAAAGTTTGACATGGAGAGAGTTGGCCATGATATTTGTGCCCGGATGACTTCGTTGAGGATGATTTCAATAGGTGTGTGTTTGGTTCTGTTTTTGGATCACGAGGATGTTCGTTGATACGCAATTCTTCGTAGATAAAAAGACGCGGTCAACCTCAAAATGACTGAGTCTCAGCTTACCCGAGAAATAAAACCTGTCCTTAACACCCAAACGTCTTCATAGGAAATCCTCGGGCCACCATCGTATGGTTCGCAGAAGACGTTTCGAAGTATTCATTCAACAATCGTGTGATGGTTACTTAAAGAGTTATGGTTGCATGTTGGATTGATTAGTGAATTATGTGTGAATGGGGCGTATGAATTGTAGTGAAAGAACTTGTTACTGTATGCCGCTATTTGAGACAATCACGGCTATTAGTGACTGTCCAGTATGTCTGTGGTTGCGCATTGATGAAAGTATATTATGTACAGTATTCAAGCATCTATGTGAGCAGCCGGTATGATATCTCAAGTGCAGCTTTTCCTATTTTATTACTTTATGCGATCATTCGTGCTATTTCTTGGACGTGTTCATGCACCCCGTTAATCACGATCATAGCTTTGCAGTGCGCATAAAAACTTACCATCACATGATAAGGAGGCCGATGATTGCACGGCCATCGATCTTATTCATCATGGAGCATCTCTTGTTTTAACTTTGACTATGTTAGTTCGCTGAAATGCTGCAGAGGGCGGATATTAGGGCATCTTAACTTAAAAGCCGGAACCAAAGGAGCTCCGTTTCAACAGCAGTTCCGGCACCATAAGAGCTCAGCTTCAACAGCATTTCAAAGATGATCATCATCAAGTATGAAATCTGCTTGCATCCATGTGAGCAAAAGATGCTGTGTGATGCTGAGGTTTGGACATGTCCTGTAACGACTATCACTGCTGTGACATATTCTGTACTTATTTTTTCACTTTCTTTCAGAATAAACATGTTTATTATGTTTTGCTACGTTCCTGGAATGCTGTCCAGTATATGCTTCAATGGTCATGGGGAAGAGAAATAGAGACGGCTTGCTATTCCTCAGGCACACAGAATAAACATGTCATGTAATATGCATTCCAGCAATCTTTGTTTGCCGGTGGTTGCAGGCTTCCTATGCATGCATAATGGAATGTTTTCCGACCTGACCGTCTCTGACGCGTTGAGAAAGTAAATAATGGGTCGTTGACCCGGGCGGAAAGCGGTCTTGTGTAGTTTTTCTGCCCAGCTAACCCTAATCAAAAACGAACGCTCAGTGTGCGGAACCTTCCGTTGGGAGCTTCTCGTGAGCATGAAATGTTTGCATTTGTCCGGGGTTAATATTACGAAACAAACGCCTAGAAGCAAAGCAAGCCCTAGTCAAATATGCTTGGTCCCTAGCCACAGCGTATTCTTGACTTAAATAACGAAATCGGGGGAGCTTTTCCCCAAAGCAAATTCGTGAAAGCTAAGGGAATCAGACTTCCTGCAGAACCGCTCCTCAACCGTCTGGAATTTTGACGTGAATCAGTACATGTACTGAATGAAAACGAAAAGGGACCAGTGCCGTTTCGCTTTGATCCAGGAGGCTGCGACCGGTGTGCCAACATAATAATAGACATTACAACTTTTACAACCCTGCCAACGAAAAACCAACAGTCGAAGCACTCAACAACCGAGTACAGAAACCCGGCACCTAAAACACAACGACCCGTTCGGGGTTCACTTTCCAGTGGTAGATCTTACCTCAGGTGCCTGAAAAGCAGACGGGCCTCTGGTGACCAGTTGGAGTTCGGCGGTCGGCGCCGCAGGCCCGCCTGCACGCATGCCGTGTCGGCACAGGCCTGGGCGGCCAGCCACAGCTCCAGCCCCTGCCACCAGGCCTCCTCGACGTCCTGCAGCCGCCTCAGGGGGCCGCAGCCTTCAGGAGCGCTCACCTGGCGGCGACGCCGCCCCGCCGGGCGTTGAAACATGACATTGTTCACGTTGTTGTCGTTGTTGTTGTTGCTGGCTGCGTTCACGTTGTTGTCGTTGTTGTTATTGTTATTATTATTGTTATTGTTGTTATTGTTGTTGTTATTGACGTTGTTGGCGATGTTTATTGCTGCGCTTGTGGCTGCCAAGCCGAAGTTCAGAAACGTGAAGGTGGATATTTGTCCCGAATCTGGACAGTACTCGGGCTCCGCTGAGTCGGTAAAGTTTGCCGGAGCAGCATACACCATCCAGGACCTGCCAGAGAAATACAGATGACATCTCTTTCCAGCCTAAGCCAGTGCATGGCAAAATATCGTCAAAAGAAAGTGTACCAATCTTAAGTAAAGCTGATCAAAAAGTTAAGACACGACCACAACGAACTGCCGTGATTTTGATCACGGATCGTTGATCTACAAAGGCATAGTTACACGCTGATCCCTGCATGCGGGGCAGCCATATATAAACAGTGTCACTTATAAAATGATAGGAACGAAACTTTCGGTGAGTTTAACTTCTTGTAAAGAACATAAACTTACCTAAAAATGTACGAAACTTTTGGGATATCAACATTCACACAATTTACATCATCGGTGTTGTCGCAAACCTCCGCAGGGTGTGGCGGGAAAGGCGCCAGAATCAGCTTACTGGCATGCAATCACGCAAAAATGCGGCACGGAAACCCAAATATTTGTTAATGAAATGCTGCCCACTGACTAAACGTGAACTTTCATGTCGGGAAAAAGTGTCCAGCCATCCAAACCCATATCACTGAGCGGCCGTAACGGCGCAGTGACTTAGCCGCTTCCGCAACAGCATCTCACCCGGCGGAGAGTCGCACGAGGCCCACCACGAGCGCCGTCCACAGAGCCGCGCGCCGCTCCCGCGCCGGCATCGGCAACGACTGCGGCGGGCGGCGGCTGGCGTGGGGTGGGCGCTGACCCGTGACCCGACCGCTGGTCCGGGCCGTTGGCGGTCGGCGGCCGCCGCAGCAGCGCCGCCAGTACGCGTCACGAAGCACCCACAGCCAGCTCGTCGTTCAGGTACGGACATGCCAGGGGCGCTGGGGCTCGGACTTGTACTCGGCTGGGCGCTGATCGTCCGCGGATCGGTGATGGGTCGCGGGGAGCGCGCGGTGGTAGAAGCGGTTGCCGCAAGTGATGGGCTCGGAAAGGTGGGACTTGACGCCCGGACACCACTTGCGCCGGAAGCCTTGGTGCTGGTGCTGCCGGCGAGTGGTGAGCGTCGACAGCTGCCTCCAGTGCTCTCCACGACGGCGCCGTACCCCAGCGACGGACGGCATTCAGCTTCGGCCGCAGTGGTTGTCCCGGACCACCCAGCCATCCCTGGACCTGGGAACGATGGCATGTCTGGCATGGTGGCAGCAGATTTTCCTTCCAGCGAGAGGCCGTCGCGTCGCTCAACCTCCAGCGTCTTGCGTGCTCAGATACAGAGCATCCTCTCCCAGCTACTGAAGGCGCATCTGACCAAGCTGGCGGGCATGCAGCGGGAGTACGCGGCGGCGCTCGGCCGGCGGCGGTCGGCCGAAGCCAAGTCGCGGCGCCGGAGGGGCGCAGACAACTCTGGCGCCGTTATGTACCTGCCGGTGGGCGGCGGCAGCAGCGGTGCGGGCAAGAAGTGCCCGACGGCCGCCGACGCCGCCGCCTCCAGCATCTCGCAGATGGCCTTCCTCTCGCTCATACTCGCCGTCTTCAACGTGGTCGCCAATATCTCCAATAACATTAACAACAACAATAACAACAACAATAACAACAACGACAACAACGTGAGCAGTTCCAACACCAACCTCAGCTCCAACAACAACAACGCCAACCAGATCAACGTGCAGCTGCCGCCGCCGGTGCCGGGGCGCCGACGCCGCTCGGCCGAGATCGCCGACTCCACCCGGCGCCTGGCCGCCCGCACCGTCCTCGCCGTTCTCCTGAGGACGCTGTCCTCGCGGCGCGGCTCGCTCCTCTGTGCCGTCTCGGACACCCTCTGCGCGCTGGGCGGCGATGACGTCACGCGACTCATCAGGTGTGTTCGCCGCGGCGCTGTTCGGACCACGCGCACGCGCTGACGGTCAGCGGCCCGGGGCGGCGGCTAGCCTCACAACATCCCACGCCGGTGCCGGAGCCACGACGGCGACCGTCGGCGGAGTTTCCTCGCCTCCCTCCCTCCCGGGTCTCGGCTTGATATACGCATGCGGGTAAATTTTGTGAAGTGAAAATGTACGACCGGCCTGGTTTCCCGGCAGCATAGCATTAAAATGAGCGTTGCGTCCGCGGATATTTGGCATGGTTTTCTTGGTTGCATTATTAATTATTTTGTTAGCGTCGAACGAAATGTTTTTCCGGAATGGTTCTCAATTTGTCTGCGTCAACTTGTTGCATAGAAATAGCATGTGTAGATTGGCTGCCTTCAGCCCTTCAGTAGCTTCTCTTAATTTTAAGACGCTAGGCTATCAAAAGCCAGAGCAGGCATTATTGCTATGGGTCAAGCATTGATTCTTGTACACCTATGCTCAAACTGCACTTTCTCACCGAGCTTAGGTAGCTCGACATGTCAGTTCGTAGCGCCTGCTTTTCATCGATCAATGGCATATCAAGACCGTAAATCACTTGGATTTCCGCCGTCCTCAATCGCACCAGCTCGCTAATCACGCCTCAACCAATGATCTGTAATGGCCATGTGTAATGTAATGACCTGTAATGCCCACGCGGAGAACAGCGTCCGTGCTCACACTAACCCGATACAGCTATCCTGTTGAGCAGCCAAGCAGCCAGCCTGCACGGCCACGCGAACAACAGCGTTCGTGCTCACACTAATCCGATTTAATTATCCTGTTAAGCAGCCAAGCGGCCAGCCCGTATGGCCACGCGAAGAGCAGCGTCCGTGCTCACACTAGCCCGATACAATTATCCTGTTAAGCAGCCAAGCAGATGAACGTCCAAGCGTCTTGCACCCGCAAAATAGCAGACTCGCTCACCACCATATGAAACGTCACCAGCCGTTTCGCTTTGAAAGTGGATGCATGCTTTCTGTTTGGGCCAACACTCACTCTTTTCCAGCCATAGGTTCTGTGCGCGCCATGGTGGCAGTGTCTTCGCCAACGCTGCAATTGCAGTGGAAAAGGGGTTGACGCATCCATATTTCAGGCACGGAGTGAAATATATGTTCCCGGTGGAGATCAGCAGCCCTGATGGAGCCAAATGCTTCTCGGCACTGTCGGCCTGCATGTAGCGTGATGATCAGGTAAGGTATGTGGATAGAAGAGCGGTCAAAGGTGACATCACCCCTGAGGCAGTGCATAGATATACTTTCCTGTTTTTTTTCTGTTTGCGGTGGTATCTAAAACTTGTCCATACCTCAACAGTTCGATGTTGGATTCTCACGTGTAAAAAGTAACAAAGCATGTTCAAAAATTCCTTCTACGAAAACATTTTCAACTCACCCGACTGAAATTCGCGTACTGTAACCTACGTCCACGCCATCACGCGTGAGAATCAGCATGGATTTCATGTCATAAGGTAATAGGAACATAGCTAATAAAGCAGTGCCGGGCGCCACGTTCAAGGTAAATGTTAACGTCTTAACACGCGCTCGGGCGGGGATCAAATTGAACCCCCCGAAGGTTTTTCCAGAATGTTTTCCGAGCGTCGCGGCGTAGCCGCGCCAAATTTCGCATAGCTGTGGACTATTAAATAGCGGATCGTTTGACGTAAAAAATTGTACGTACCTCGTAAGGTCGCTGACCTATAGCAGGTCAAAGTCAGGCCATGGTTTAAGCGAAAGCAATTTCAAGGGAATCGTCCGATCTGATACAATCAAGGAGCGTTTGACGAAGCCATGCATCTCTGAGATGCATTCTTAGGCACCACAAATATTGGATGAGCAAATTACGTTGACCTAAGATCAGATACGAAAGTCAGACCAAAGTCAAAATCAGCCTGATTTATTACTCTAGGGTTTGTTATATGGGATAGCTTGCGGTGCTCATTTCGAATTTATTGACAGCAGGAACCGCATTATACGTCTTCCATTGACTTCTTAGAGGTCAGAACATAATGCGTAGCAAAATCTGTGTCGCTTATTCAAATGCAAAACTCAGAGCAATCTTGTATGCTTTTGGCCACCATGACCTTTAAAAGGTCAAACAAGGTCACTGACCTCAAAGGGGCTTGTGACATTTTGCTTAGAAACAGTTACCTAGATTCTGGGGAACTCTAGAGACCAACCTGGAATTTGACACTGTTTGACCTTATTTTACCTGAAGGTCATGACCTAGAAAGCTCAAACTTTGACCTAAGTGAGTTCACATACAAGTCAAGATACCCTGTAAATTTGGTGTCTCTAGCTCTTTTAGTTCCCGAGATCTCAGGGCGGGGGTCAAATTGACCCCCAGCCCGAGCGAAGTGTATCTAGCCGGCCACCCGGGCGCGTGTTAAACACGAAACAACTTAACATGATTGACAACGCAACTTTAGACGTATGCCGACCGTATTCAAAGCCGTCAATTCCTAGTCCAAACTGCAATCGTAGCCGGGTTTAACAGCGTTATTGCCGAGGTTGACGGGTACAGCACGCTGAAGCTTCGTTCCGCGATTGATGAGTCGAAATCGTGATTTCCGTAAACCATGCCGTGCTGTTTGCACGTATCAGTGGGTTTGGCTGCTGAATGAGCCGGCTTAGCTGCATAAACTCAAGCGTTCAGTGATGCGCATCAACTCGTGTGGGCTCCGTGAGGAGCACTGATTTCAATCAGTCGACCCAGCTTCTATGTGCGACACCAAAGGGAAAGTATGCACCGTTTCGTTTGGAAATGCGTCCCGAGTCGCGCCCTCCCCTACGTCTTCACGTTGCAGCAGTCAGGCATTGGTGAAACTGACGGATCGCAATGCTCTCAAAAAAGGAATGTTGTCTGCAACCCCAAGCACTATCGGCCTATTTCTGCCTTCAGGCTGACGTGTGCTGCACTGCTCTTGCGCCTGGGCCTGCCGCCGTGCTCTGCTGCGAACAGCTCCAGAGAGCCGCGCACGGCAGCTGGCATGCCCGAGTCGCCGCCGCCGTCGGTGGTGACCGCAGGCCGCAGACTCTCCGGCTGGGTCACCGGCTCCAGTCCCACGCCACCGAGAGCGACCCACCGGCCGGCGGCGGCGCCCCCGTCTCCAGGGAGTGGTCAGCGGGCACTGCTCGCCACTCGGCTGAGGTCGCAGCTCTTCTCACTGCTGTACCGGCACATGCCAAGGCGCGGCGCGGTGGCGGCTCGTGCTCACCGCCCCGGCGCCGTCATGTACCTGCCTGTGGGGCAGCAGGGCCAGGAGGACCCCTGCGCGCCGGCACCCGGCACCAGCCTCGTCGCCGTGGCGCCGCTGGTCCTGCTCAGCCTCGTCGTGTCCGTTTTCGACGCCGTGGCCAACATTTCCAACAATATCAATAATAACAACAACAATAACAACAATAATAACAACAACAACTTGAATAACAACAACGAAAACCTGAATGCCAATATCAACAATGCCAACCAGATCAATATAATGAGACAGGCACCAGAATTCAGCTGGAAAGTACGGCTTGGGAAAGTGTTTCTTGGCGTGCTACGTACATTCCCTGAAAGTGTGCTTAGCGAGTCCATCTCTATCACCATGCCACGCTCTGAGAAAAAACCAGGACATAAAAAGGATATTCCTTGAAGTCTGGAGCTTCGGGCGAGAGGCCGGTCAAACGACGGCAGGCAAAACAAGTGAAGCACTACAAAACAAAACAAGTATCCGCATACAGAAGCTTCTGGTGAGTTCTGGGTACAGTCGTGGCCCTTGGCTATGTTCACAGATGCCTCAGAACTGATCCTGCCTTGCACCGGTGTTTCTACAGGTTTTTGCGCCGCAGTTCGCCTTCGTTGATGATCAGCGTGCGTTGATTATGTGACAGATACTGGTGGGCGTCGCTGCAACGGCAAAACCTCTCGTTATTGCCCCGCTAACGACACCCAATGGCGACCACCAAGCCGTGCCCGCCTGACACGGCATGGAACGAATGCGCTTAGGTATCCAAGCACGCTTCGTTATCTGGGTCTCGTGTATATTTACCCGAGTCCGGCGCAAACAGAGCGGCCAGCCAATACTTAGTGAGCCGACGCAGCAGTGCATTACGGTCGGCGCGGTTTTGTTCCGAGTGGGAGCGGATCGATGCATTCCCGTCCATGTGCCAAGCCCGTGTGACGCTGGTGCCGAGACAGGCGGCGCAGCGCTGTCGCTATGCTTCGCTGCCACTCCGAAACGATGAAGCGCTTCACGCTGTCGAAGGCATGCGGCCTAGATAAGACGAAAAGGTATCTTCTCAAAAATGGAGCGTGTTTGACAACATATTCAACAGCGATGTTGTTCTTGTTCTGCGTTGCCTAATACTTGACCCATGTGTTAGCAACAACGTATTCCATCAAGTTTTTGTGGTGAGGCATATGCACATTCTTATTTTGGACCGGGGTCTAGTATGAACAAAAGAATGAACAATTGATTGCTTATTTTGAGACGCTCATTTTGTTTAATTTATGAACGATCCATGCAACAGCATCCGTTAGTTCACAACCTTATGTGAACGATGAAACGAATAAAGCACATGGAACATTGTATTGTTGTCAAAAAAGTGAAGTAACATGATACGGGGACGCCGGTTGCCGCACCGCTCGAGCTAGTTGAAATAGAAATGAGTGCTATCACCATGTATGCGTGTATGGGACCGAAATGTATCCAAATGTAGACAGTCGGCCTTCCTGTCCCTTTCCAGATACATCGGTCTTATTGGTATACCATAACATCATTATGTCGTGACTTCAACCGACAGATGTTCACTGTTGTAAAGTGTCGCATCGGGATTCAACCGATAACGGTACTTGAACGGCGGCTGTCGCTCGACTTAGTCGAGCCCGGCAGTCGAAGTCGACGTAAGCGGCGAGTTTAAATTGTTCGCGTCCTTGGCGACGGTAAGCGCAGTCTTGCAAAAACACGTGCTTTGGGGGATGGTTATTGGTCGCGACAAGCTGTACACCCGACTGCGTCGTCTTCATGGTCTGGGCTTAGGCCTCAGAGTGCCCATTCGAGATTGGTCCTCAAAGAGTAGGCGCTGGCCGCCCCCGATCGATTACTAGCGGGACGTGGGACCACGCAGTATTGAGCTCGCGCAGTGTTTTGTAGACCGCGTGTTGTGACACTTCCTCTGCGCAGGTAGCTTTAGGTCCGTATCGTCCCGGGCTGCTGAGGACTGACACCAGTGCCTAAGCCAACCAGCAGCACTATGGGATCGGGCCGACGGTTCACGCTCACTTGTCAGCGCCCACACGGAGCTGGTCACCCGACGCCTTGCATTGTCCGCCGTCTCCTCCGTCAAGCAAAGCTTGTGTCATATTGCTGTGGCCCCGTGTTGACGGGATCAGGAGTTGCTTTCTTACAGCGCGCTTCAAATTTTTGGCAATTCGTTATAATTCTGAACGGCGAAAATGCCCTCTTTCGTTCGGTGTCGGCTACACACCTGCACGATTTTAATCATGGCTACAACAAAGACCCTTCAGAGGCTGCGCATTCTGGAACAGTGTGCGGCCTGTCGCGTGGTTCCCAGAATAGCTGTCTAAGGTTTCCTTGCTTCGACTGATCAAAGTTATCAATTATATGTTAAAACTGTCCGATGTGATCCCAGGGGTAATTTCAACTCCCCGAGGTGGGAGGGGGGGGGGGGAGGTTGGAAGTTGGCGAAATTCCCAGGTACAGGTAATAACGAGTTAAACAAGCTTGGTGCGTGGCCTCACTCGCAACAAAACCATCGTGCACTTCAGTAGCTGTAATACTAGTTCCATTGGTCAATATTTAACTCACGTTTTGGTCACTGGTCACACCACAGATAGAAGTAAGATGAGTGGAGACAAGCGCAAAGCGAGACGACTGTTATCAGATGTACCTTCCTTCATTTTCGATGTTTCGCAAGGTGTAGGATTCATTATTCTGGGAGGCAGGTGCGCAGACAGGGGGATACAGGGTGCACGTGCCCTCTCCTTAGGTTCCGAGGGCCCGAAGAGCCTGTCAGGATCGACCAGCAAGGGCCAAATTGGAGGACTCCGCGGGTCCGAAGGGCTGCCCAGATATCGCGTTAAGGGACCCCATCCCAGCGTGCCAGGACCCTCAGATGTTAGTATGGGGCCATTTTGTGTCGTTGGAAGGCCCCTGGGACAATGAGGCCCCTATGTCAGTCAGAGACCACCAACATCGAATTAATGGCCCGGTGTCAGCCCGAGGGGCACTTCCCAAATAGTGACAAAGTCTGAGCCTCCGAATGTCAGTCGAAAAATATCTACCTTTGGTCGGGCCAAGGAACCAACGTGGGTCTCCTGTGTCGATCAGGTAAGCCACAGTGGCGCACAAGGAACCCTGTACCGGCAAGAGACCCAGAGGTGGTCAGGGGCCCACTTGCTAGACAGTGACAGGGAGCGGAATTTGAATGTCAGGAGACCTCTTGCGTTGGTCGAGACCCCCTGACAATGACCTGATGTTTGAAAATGACGTAAAAAAGGGTCTTGTGTCATCAGGAGGCCCTAGTACCAAAAGTTGCCCGACCGCTTTGTTTCAGTAAGTAGGCCCAATAATATAAACTGGAATGCATGTGGCAACTGTAAACCCGGTGTATCCGTAAGGGATACCTTTGCGTCAGTGAGGGCTCTTGCATCGATATGGGGCTAATGCCTCCTGTGTAAGGAAGGGCGCCGATACATGATGTTTTCCCCTTCGAGGGGCTCCAGGTACACCAGCGCACCATGAGGCCCGCGTCGACAGAATTGCAGACATTGGCGTCACGGGGCTGGGATGGAAAGACGCTTCAGCCCTCGTCAGGGAAACGTAATGTGCCATTCAGTGTTCTACCCACTATCCCCTACCTTTCCCCAGTTCGGAAGAGGTGGGGGACCTTTTTCGTGTCTAATCCAAGGGGTCACTCATGGCACACACCTGTCTGCATGACTGTATAGAAAAAAAACGAAGAAAAATCGGAACACTCAAATGAAGAGAGCCAAACCCGGTGACCTTTTAGGGAAAGGAGGCTATTCACTAGGCCCTTAATCAAGTTCCGTGCCCCCCCCCCCCCCCCAGCTTACCAAGGCTCAGGCTGCCCCTATGCTGAGAGACATTGGATGGAGGTACCCGCGGATGCTGATTTGCATTCTTTTGGATCGACCACTGGTCCCCAATGTCCTTGCCTTGCCTCCTGATGCCTCCTTTTCTTCTCGGAGGCCAAGAATAGGAAGGACATTGAAAAAGTGGCTCAAAATGATATCAAATCGAAAGAAGATTTCTAGTAATTGTTCCGCAGGTAAAAGGAAAAAGAGAATGGCACTGCGATTTCTTGTCAACTTGAGTGCAACTGAATGAGCAAATTGCACTTCTATAGCTCGGCGTTCGCACCGTGTTTACTTGAGTTGATTTGTCTGTTTTTCCTATCTGCTGCATGTTTTTTAACTGAACGATTCATATCTCTTGTTGATTCTCGTCTACTTTTGTGCTACTGTCTGAGTGTTTTGGTTGCGTTATTTTGCCACGGCATCTAACCAGAAAATACAAACAAACCAGTCGAATATTTGCCCCCCAAAAAGTGGCCCAGTTATTTGCCATCTACATTTGGAACAGTCCTTGAAATGTGCTGACCTTCACGAGGACGTCGATATTCTTTGAAACAGTTCCCAAGCCCTGGCCATAGACACCAGCAGACCAAACTACTAGCGGTAATTATCCGGCAATGACCACCAAAACAGTACTAGTTGTGTCGAGCATTCGAACATACCCAACGCAAGTGATGCAGCGGAGCTTGCACCCCGCCTTGTGGCAACCAAGCCGGGATTTCCGTGGCAGACACTTACAGCCGCAAAAATGAACTCACGTTTCTCGCTGCCGAAGTCGTATGCGCCCAACAACGTCTGAAGTCACATAGAATCGACTTTACGTCGAACACGGAAACATGGTTTCGACGATCGACGCCGAACGAAATCGTAGTGAAGCCTAGCGACAACCTTTTTCGCTGAAACAGAGCAAGGAAACGTTTTAGACCACGGCTGCAGTTTCCTATTCTGTTTGGGGGGGGGGGGGGTACTCCAACTCCATAATGTTGAGAGGAAAGTGGGGTAAGTCGGGGAAGTAACATGCGTTTAGTGCTAGGTTTTCCCCACTCGCTCCCCCCCCCCCCTCCTTCCCCAATAATATTTTCGAAACTATGCTGCTATGCTGGAGGCTTAACGACCGGATACGCGAAAGGTTTTTCCACCAGATTGCTTCAGCGGCAGGTCTGTGACTTAGGGCCCGCTTCTGAAAAAGAACAAAGCCGGGGTTCACGATTTGCATTGGTCATAAGTCAATGAGGGACCCCCTGTGTCGGTCTGGGGAGCCAGAGTGCCTAACAAGGGCCCCGTTTTGACGAGGAGCCCAGAGTCAGCTTAAGGCAGTGTTTGCGGGGCTCGCAGAGGGGCCGAAGGGCCACTCAAGACCGACGATCCAGGGCCCGATTGGAGAGCACGATGGGCTGGCTGTGAGTCATCTGAAGGTCACATGGGGATCCGGCCCGCAGAGCCGGACCCTCCAATGTCAGTCAGAGGACCTCCTGTACCGATTGTGGGCACCGTGAGACAATGCCGGTCTCTATTTCGGTCATGGACCACCAACACCGAACGGTCGGCTCCGTGTCGGTCTGTGCCCTGTGGGCCCATTTTCTAAGCAGAGACATGGTCGGAACCCGCGATTTGCATTGGTCGGGAACCCTGAAGTAATCACGGCTTTTTGTCAGTCAGGGACCCGCAGTGCCTAACGGAAGGCCCAGTG